TTTATTCCTTTACTTTCAATTTTGGACTTAATGTACGGGCTACGTCCCGATCACTTCTTATGTACTAGATGGCTATGAGATGATGTTTAGACTTCTACTTCATATTATAAAGTCTGTTGAAACCGTCTTTTGAATCTTCTATTTCTATTATCTTGTATGATGAATGCTAAGTGGCTTGTCTTGGGCCTCTCGGGATTTTATACGCCATGTTACGCCTAGGAGCTACCTTGGGTCATGACAAACTTGGTAATTAGAGCACAAGATTTTGAAAGGTCATAGGAAGTCTCATAAGACACGTCGAGTAGAGTCATGTTCATGAGTGTGAAGCACACTACGCTTATGAATGCGAGGCTATAAGATGTTTAGGAAACTCTACTTCTTTCATTAATCTAAAGTCTTGAGATAGAGTTTAACTCTATAATTTCACCCTCATAATCCTAATCTGAATCTCTATAGGATATGGCTACTCGAAGATCATATGCTAGAAGGAATGTGACAGAGAATGTGGAACAAGAGGCTCCTTCTTAAGCTGCTCTAGTTCAGGTCGATCCTTAGGCCAAGCAAGTGATAAATGTGAAGTTTAGGGCTGATGTCAAGTGTTGGCTTAAGCCATGACGACCCAAACTAATAGGGAGTTTGCGGCTCCCGTGAACCCAAATGTGGGTATGACAACATCCAGAGTGAGGGATTTCACAAGGATGAATCCTCCAGAGTTTTATTGTTCTAGGGTTGAGGAAGACCCTCAAGAGTTCATTGATGAGACTTATAAGGTATTGATGATTATGGGAGTGACGCCGCTGTCAAAGGCGGAGTTGGCAGTTTATAAAATTAAGGGTGTTGCTTAAATATTGTTTAACCAATGGAAAGAAAGGAGGGCAGACAATGTGGGTCCTCTTGATTGGGAGAAGTTTAAAATTGCTTTTCTTGATAGGTTCTTTCCCATTGAGATGAAGGAGGCAAAGGGGCTTGAGTTCATCAACCTTCGTCGACTGTCATGACCAAGGTACCCCCAATACAACATTGTAGGCCTATGGCCACACTAAATCTGGACAACGCTTGTAAAGTGTTGCCTAAAATGTTTTTGGGCATGCTTTTAAAGCATAGCCAATGTTTTTAACTTTTGGCTTCGATAATATTGGCAACACTTATAAAACGTACTCTTTAATGGTATAGGCTACACTTTATAAATGTTGTTATATCATGACATAATTGACAACAACTATTTATATATATGGCCACACTTTTAAAGTGTGCTATTTTTATAATTAAAAAACAACACATTACAAGTGTAGCCTTAAAGTTTTCACTAAAATATAATGTTCCCTCCAACATTTTCAAGTCCCGCTCCAATTTTTATTTGGCAAAAAAAAATAATCATAAAACATAAAACCTTTCAACTCTAGGTCTTTTCCCCATATTAGAAAAAAAATTATAATTTCTTGAAGAACAAAATTTGCTCCAAATATAAATTTTTTCCCAAGTTTTAGATCTTTGCTCCAAATCTAAAACATTTCAAGGGCTCACAAATTAAAAGGTATTTCTTCATCAACACATAAAGTAAATTTTTTTTACAAAGCAAAGTGAAGAATTGTTTGAAAATTTCGTTCATTACAATCGGACTACGATTTTGCTCCAATCTGAAAAATTGCTCATCGTGAATCGCTCGTCTAGCTGTTCTTGTCAGCTTGAAGAACAAAATTTGTTCCAAATTTGATGTTTTCGCTGTTCTAGTCTTGTTGGTGAACATGATAGAACAAATTGCTTCACTTCAGAAGATGGTGTCTTAAAGCTTCATAACATTGAAAGGATTTTGTTGGAATAGAGTTTATCAGATAAAGATGTAATCTTTAAAAGTCTAAATTTATGGCATTTGGGTTTATTTTTCTGATATTCTTGTTTTGTTGAGATGATTTTTTATAGATTTTTCGGAGTCTAGCTCGTTTTAGTACTATCCACATCATTTAATTATTTACCCCATTTTTCTCTTTTAGATTTGTTAGTTTCCCTTAAACCCACTGCACTCAAAGATTATAGAAGAAAAAGAAAGAGTAAAAATTTATTCCTTAAAAGTCTAAATTTATGGAATCTGGCTGATATTCTTGTGTTATTGGGATGATTTTTAGGAGTCTAGCTCGTTTTTGTACTACCCACATTAGTTAATTCTTTGCCCCATTTTTCTCTTTTATATTTGTTAGTTTCCCTTAAACCCACTACACTCAAAGATTACATAAGAAACAGTAGAGTAGAAAAGGACAACAAAAACAACAAAGAACTACTGTTCGATGAAGTAGAAAATTTAACAGTCAATATCATAGCCGAATGCAAGTTAACTTCCAACAACTCAATAATAATTGGTACACACGTGTCCTGATTTCATTTGATTATTTTAGTTTTTGGATCAGTTGTAAGGTTAATGCTATTGCTAAGAAGTGAGAATCCACAATATTGACTCTTGAATTCTCATCAACACCTGAATCTTCTACTTGGGTGTCTCAATTTCTATGAAAGTTTCGCTATTCTGTGGTTCAATATCCCTAAGGTGAGTGACCCATTTTAGGTAATGATTTCAATGTTGAAGTGTTAAATGTGTTTTCTTTGTTCTACTATTTTTCTCTAATTATAGATTATGTTATTGGGTATCAACGAAAATGTAGAACTTTAATTTTTAGGTTGGGATTGTGGCGTAGTTGAAACGGAATGAGCTCAATTGGTGAACATGCTTCTTGATAGAATTTCTCAATCTCAATTAGTTCATTTAATTTCCTTAATCGCTAAGGATATATTTATCGACATTATTTCTTTGCTTAAATGAAGTTCTATGTTGTTTCAGCACTTCAACACTTCGTCAATTTTACTTCAGCCAGAACTGTCCTCGACATCTCATCCAGCTTCATCGACTCTGTGGTAGGTAGGATGTGAACATTTCTTCAAGTTTCAACATTTATTGAAATTTATCTACTTTCTCACTCACCCTTTTGTAATAGTGTGTGTGAGGGAGAGGATTGTTCTCTATGTCTATTTCTTCGGTTACACTCGTTTCTATTTCTACTATGTTAAATTACAAACAAGATAGTGCAACTTCATGCTTTATATTAGTCAAACTTCATTATATGTACCACAGTAGAAAGACACATGTGAATTTCTAAATGAATATTCATCCACTTTGTCATTTCTACTACTGCTATTCTCTCCCTTTAGATAAATTCTTGGTTTAAGGCATAATTAAGATGAGCTTGAATATCATGTAGCCTTTCCCTTGCTGGTGCAATTCTGTTGTCCAAGCTACCTATTCCTTGATGTTGTAGTAGCTTTAGTGGTTCTTTGCATAATTTCAATCTAGCCCAGAGTCTAAACATGTTTGTCCCCAAAACTGGTTGCTGCCAGCTATGTTCTATGATCTCCATTAATTTCACATCCTCAGTTAAAATGTTGATGAACCTGAAAGACTTTTTTCTCAAGGCTATAGTTGTGGTGATTTCTATATGGATTGGGGAGTTATCTGAGAAGTGTTTTTCCTCGAATTGAGTTGTAATGTGACCATATGAAATACATTCCTCGTTACATAATGCCCTGTCTATTTTGCTCCAAATATACCTATTAGTCCAAGTAAATACTCTTCCGGTCGCTTTCATATCAGTTAGGATTAGAGTATCAATTACTTGCTGGAAATCTCTATTCTCACTTTCGTTTACTGGTTGGCCTCATTTTCTATCCTCAAATGATAACGGAGAGTTGAACTTTCCACATATGCACCAAGGGGTAGTTAGGTTAGCACCAAACCTCATCAAACCATCCCATATGTCCTTTGTCTCTTACAGATTATTACTTCCATATACTATAGTTATATCACACTTAAAGTTTGTTCTTCTATCAACCACTGTACCAGTGTTTTGGACGGCGAGAGGTGACAAAAGGCGACAAGGGCCTGCCTCGCCACGCGGCGAGGCGAGCGGCGAGGCGATCGCCTTTTTGAATCAAGGCGCCAATTAATACCAAAAATTAAAAATATTTAATTGCATATATAAATATCCAAAATCTCAATAGCAATAACATATATTAGCAAATATTTCAATTCAAAAACAAAAAGTAGATACTAAAAGTCTAGAACTTTAAAGACCCAATAATTCAAAAGATAATACTAGAACTCTAAAAGTCTATTCTTCTTCAAAACTATCCAATTCTTGAAGATCAACATCCTCTACATCATTATATTGCTCCTCATCTTCTTCCTCCTCGTAGTCTTCATCAATTAGTGTTCGAGTCCTACTTGAAGTTGAACTTGTAGATGAAGTTTCTACTCCTTTGCCCTTGTCAAGTGCTCTTGATCTTGAAGAAAGTTCCCTAAGATGATAGATACTCTCATCAGCTCCAATTGCCGTAGCAACACTACCCCAAGTAAGATCATCATCCTCATATACTAGTTCATCTTCTTGATCTTCGGGGCATCCAACTAACCATTCATTTGAATCATCAATGTTATCCAAGCGAATTGGATCAATGAGATCACGAGCATCATAACGACGTTTCAATGTTCTATTGTACTTAATGTACACTAGATCATTGAGACGCGATAGTGCAAGCCTATTCCTCTTCTTGGAATGAATCTACACATAAGTTACAAATATTAACTAATAGATATTGATAATAATATAATATGGAAATTAGGATATAATTTTTTTACTTACGTGTTCAAACACACTCCAATTTCGCTCACATCCGGATGAGCTACAAGTTAGGCTTAATACTTTCATGGCAAACTTTTGCAAGTTTGGTGTTTCACTACCAAATAGTGACCACCATTCCACTATAATAAAATAAATTTAGAGGTTAATGAGTGTAAATAAGTTGAATAATTTAAGTAAGAGCTAAATCAACTCACTTACCCGGTGACCTTGTGTCTCTAGCTCTTTTAGCCGGACCACAACCAAATAGTCCATTCGCCATTTTGTACCTAGGAAGCTCAGCGACTAGTAAATCTTGTATTGTTTTATCGGGGATCATCTTCTCAACACATGCATAATACTCGGTCCACAGACTCTGTAGTAAAGTTCCCTCTTCTTGAGCTTTATAATACAATCCTGGGTTCAAAACATGGCCTGCAGCATGCAAAGGCCGATGGAGTTGGTCTGACCACCTTGCATCAATAATTTCAAACACTTTCTCATATTGCTTCTTAATTCCACGAAAACCCCGTTCAATAGTTTCTTTGGCTCTATCCATTGCTTCATAAATATAGCCCATTGGTGGTTTTTTCTCCCCATCCACCAAACGAAGCACTTTTGTCAAAGGGCCACAAACTGTAAGTGCTCGAACAACATCATCCCAAAAGTGGGCAGAAATAATAAGATTGGCAACTTCTTTCCCCAAAGTTTCCTTTGCAAATTTACTTGAAGTCCATTCGGTTGAGAGGACTAAAGTTCTCAAGTTTTTTTCTTTGTATGTACATAGCTCTCAAAGTTAAGAAGGCCGTTGCAAATCTTGTCTTGGCCGGTTTCACCAAATTTCTTTCCTTGGTGAATTTTCTCATCAAGTTTAACAACAATGGCCTTTGACTAATGTAAGAATGGATTCTGATGGCCTTCTTAAAAACTGTTAAGGTAAGATTATAGTAATTAGTAGCTAATAAGTATTAAATATTGACTATAAAGAAAGTTAGAGGATATGAGAGTGATATTACCGGAAGCATATGGCTTAACCTTGAATATGTCACCAAACATCAAGTTGATGCAATGAGCGGCACATGGAGTCCAATAAATGTGTGGGTATGCACCCATCATCATGCTTCCCGCTTTAACATTCTCACTAGCATTATCAGTTACAATTTGTACAACATTTTCCGGTCCAATTCTTTCAATAGTGCTTTCAAACAACTTGTACATTTTGGTGGAATTGGTAGATTCATTGCTAGCATCGACAGAACCAAGAAATACACTACCGATTGGAGAATTCACCAAAATATTGATGATCATTTTACCATTTCGTGCCGTCCATTTGTCCATCATAATGGAACATCCAAACTTTGTCCATTGCACTTTATGCTCATCAACGATTTTTTCCACTTTCTCCACCTCTTTTTTTAGGTGAGTAACTCTAACTTCATGAAATGTAGGAGGCTTCATTCCGGGGCCATGTTGTCCTACTGTCTCAATAAATTTATCAAATGATTTGTGATTGACACAATTAAAAGGGAGCCCCGCATCATACATCCATATCGCGAAAGCACTTACCGCACGCTCTCTTAGAATTTTCTTTGTTTCATCAATTCCTCCTCCTTTTTCAAAGCCTCCTTTTTGTGTTGATTTATGCGGAAAATAGAGATTCATAGGGCCTTTCGTCACATTCCGCGCGGTGGATGATGCACCTCCACTAGAAGATATCTTTGGAGTTTTGGAGGGAGGAATCATTTCCGCATATTCATCCATATCATCAACATCATCAATATCAATATATTCTTCCGGCTGCCTCACTTGAAATTTGGGATTATTAGCGATTTTATTTTGCATATAAGCCCTTACTTCTTCTCTAATCTCCGACGGACATGCTGTACATTGTTTAACATTCTTGAAACCACCCACTAGATGTTGTTTGTGTCGATTTATTCCACCATTAAAAGTACTCCCACAAAAGTTACAATTAACCGAATCTTTCGTTGCTCCTTGAGTACCATAATTCCATCCAATGTCCCTCTTTTTGCTAGCATCCGCCATAGAATTCACTATTGTACAATACAACATATACTATATTAATTAGTAATTACTATTAATTACTATAGAAGAATTTTTTTTAAAATAAAATAATAGGCAGCACAGTAAAAGGCTGAAAGCAGTAGCATTCAGCAGCATATTACAGTGAACAAATGTTACTTTAATAAAAAAAATAAAAATATTACAGTGAATTCACTATTGTACAATACAACATATAGTCATATACTATATTAATTAGTAATTACTATAGAAGAATTTTTTAAAAAATAAAATAATAGGCAGCACAGTAAAAGGCTGAAAGCAGTAACATTCAGCAGCATATTACAGTGAACAAATGTTACTTTTATAAAAAAAATAAAATATTACAGTGAATTCACTATTGTATAATACAACATATAGTCATATACCATATTAATTAGTAATTACTATTAATTACTATAGAAGAATTTTAAAAAAAATAAAATAATAGGCAGCACAGTAAAAAGCTGAAAGCAGTAGCATTCAGCAGCATATTACAGTGAACAAATGTTACTTTTATCAAAAAAAATAAATATTACAGTGAACAAAGAAAACAGAGCATTGAAGAAAAAGAGGAAACAAACAGAGCAGAGAAGGCAGAACCGCAGAAAGCAATAGTATCTCAAATTTTTATTTTTTTTAAGAAAGCAGTTGAAGGAGAAAGTAAGAGAAGACGAGGACTGAAGGAGAAGAAGAAAGAAAAGAGGCCATACCTTTCAATTCGCGCAAGTTGACTGAAGGAGAAGAGAATCGCGAGGTTGAAGGAGAATAAGAGTATCGCAAGTCGTGACTGAAGGAGAAGAAGAGAATCGCGAGGTTGAAGGAGAAGAGAGTCGCGTCTGAGTCCCAATTTTGGAAATATGAAAAAAAAACCCTAATTTTGACTAATATTATTAAGTCAAGACCTTTTTAAAATTTTAATACTAAAAGGCGCCGCCATTCACGTCGCCTTTACGTCGCCTCACGTCGCCTCACATCGCCTAATTGATCTCGCCGCGCCTCACTGGGAAATGGCGCGACATGCTCGCCTCGCCTCGCCTTCTCGCCTTTGGCGAATGGCGAGCGCCATTAAGAACACTGCACTGTACAATGGATGTACTGGCCATGTGTTGCCTGAACAGTAACCTCCAAGTTTGTTCTTCTATCAACCACTGTACAATGGATGTACTGGCCATGTGTTGCCTGAATAGTAACCTCCACCTCAGTTGCCTAATAGACACTCATGATCAGTTTCATATAGACATTGTTGTTGAATTTTTGTTTTCTCATCCATGTGAATTCTATCTTGGTCATGATCATCTGGATATGTTAGTTTACGTGTTGCTGCATGATTTTTTCTGAGGCTTTTCAGTGTTGATTGCCTTCTTTCTTGAGACAGGTTGAACGTCATACTGGTCAAGTTCATATAGTTGTAGTTGTTTGTAAAATCCACTATTGCATATTGGTCAAGTGCATATAAACATTATTTGTTCTGTTCGCTGTCAGTCAAATCGTACATAAGATATGTGAACATGTGCAAGAGAGTGAATATGTTCGCTGTCAAAACTTAGGAATCTGCTCATATACCATCAAAGAAGAACAAAAACTTACAGTCTTGAAGAGAATTAAAAGCTGACTGGAACCTAGGATTGTTAGTCTTCTTGAGTTATGTTTAAAAAGGTAATAAAAAGCATACATCCAATCTACTAAATGTGGGTAGCCTAGGTTCAGCAGAAAGTGAACCTAGGCTTCTTAGTCTTCTTGAGTTCTGTTCAACTCCTCGTTCTTAGTCGTCTTGATTTCGTAGTTTTTGTGCTCACCTTAAGCTTGGTTTATTTAATTGTTAATCACCATAAAATTCAGATGTTCATAATTCTTTTATATGTATGGATTACGTATTTCTTGTTTTGGAGACTGTTGTGTTTAGGGCGGTTTTGATCTAATAGATAGAAGGAAGGTAATTTTTAACCATTTATGATATGTTAAGGCCATTTTGACCCTTTTCTATTTTCCTAATAAAGATTTTCCCTGAAATCCTTAACTATTTGTTCATTGCATTGCTACAAAAACCATATCTTTACAACTTTATAAATTATGATTTTCCCTGGTGCTAATTTGAAAGCTCCTGGTTCAAGGTCATATGCTGAGTTGCAAATAAGCCAATCTACTGATTTCACAGCTTTGTTGTTGTTGAAAATGATTTTATGCATTGTTGAATTTCCCATGCTTGTCCAAAGTAAATCTGATATGTTCATGATTGGCATAGTTGGTTCAAACTGAAAAGTATTATGATCTGCCATTCTGCATACTAGGTTCATTCTACAACTTTTCTCTCATTGTATTTATGTGGAGCCCGTGAATTCAATAGCTTTTGTCGAACATCATATATGAAACTTATTAAATAAATATATGACTATGAACTCAGTTCTTATTTTGTATGAAGTTTTAATGTCTGTTGTAAGAACTCATACATTTCAAATCGTGTATCCGCCTATGAGCTTAGACTATAGTCGCAATTCGTATCACAAATTTTGATAGATGTATGTTGGAACACTTGAAATCTTATGTTACTTGAGTTCATATGCAGATCATGTGAAATTAGAAGAAACGAAGGAAGATCTAGGTGAGATTTTAAATGGGGATTGACTCGTGAGTGGTCCTTATGCACTCTATTTCTTGGTAGATAAAGACTTGGAGATTCTTTGTCGAAAGAAGTTAACAAAGGATGAAGTTGCTCAGTTTCGAAGAGCAGTTGATAAGGACTATAACTTTGAGATGCACTACGATGAATTTCCCTTATGGGGCCTTATCAGAAGAGTTGAGAATAGGGAAGAGACAGAGGATACAAAATATTACAAGTACTTTCTTTACAAACACATTCATTTCAATATCCACTATAACATGGACCGTGTTATCGAGATCACTGCACGAATGGATCCACATTCTGTTTTGGACCTAACAGGGGATAGGGAAGTCGATGCTCTATCCTCTACCGCATATCTTCGAGATTCATTGGTTCTCGACTATCAATTCTTGTGTCACTGTCCTCCTTTAACCGGTTTCCTTGCCACGATTCTTATGCGAGTCCTTAAGAATGATTTTATCAAGTAAGTGGCTTATCCTTCATTTTCAAAAAGAAAATTAACTAGTCATAAACTCCTACATTTATCCTGATACAAATGTTGTTACATATAACATATAGTAATACATCGTTCCAAAGAAAACTTGTCCGCTATAGAGAGGTCTGACTATATCTGATTTTCTCAAGAAATAACTCTTTTAATTGACAATGTATGCAAAAGGTATGCACATGATGAAGAAGCAGTTAACGATCAAGAGGAGACAGGATAGAAGTACATACATAGTGATGTCTTTAGGTTCCTGAAACACAAGTGATTGTTTGCTGCAACACTTGGTTGTGGTGCTCAGCTCTTTACAATGTTAGTGTCCTCTAAAATCTGTTCTGATAAGTTAAGTCTAATGCAAGAAACATTTGCATTATTGTATATTGTGTATCTTGTACAGGACAATTTATATATTCATGATGGCGCTTGTCGGGGTGTTTTATCCTTACAATAGAGGAGCTCCATTCACTACCCTGATGGTTATATATGCACTCACTTCTAGCATTGCCGGATACACATCAACCTCTTTCTATTGCCAGCTTGAAGGAACTAATTGGGTAAATGTTGTAATATTCTCATAAATGCTGAGAAATTATCATCTAGACACTAAACTTGTTGTCTCGTTCCAGCTATAACTATAATATAAGATGAGGTGTATCATGCCTTTTTGTTATCATAGTTGATTAAGCATAAACTACTTACTCGTAAGAGAGCACAAATGACAAGGTTCAAATCCCCGATTGAGATTATTGTTGTTGAACTCGAGACAAAGGGGAACCTAGTATGTTGGCTACGAGTTTAGCAGACCGCAGTAACTTTGGTTCAAATCCTATATTTCTGTAGGTGGCGTAGCAGGTACTTGGTAAAATAGTCAATGGGGAGCAAATTGTTCCAGACATCATTGTTATATTTTAAGAACACCCATCTGAATACGAGTCTTACACATATGTATGCTTCCACATAAAGAGGTTTAATGCAATGAGATCTAGAGGGCTATATACAACACGAAAGCTGGGTTCAGACGTCCATGAAAGAGTATTTGACCTCTTTTGTTCTTACTCC